TGGGATCGACCCCCCCCCATGTCATGCTTTGCACTCAGTGTGTTGTCTGCTCTGAATTCTCTCTCACTCTACCCCTGCTCCCTCCCCATACACATGCTTGTGCATGTGTTTTCTCTCTCTCTCTCCCCCAAAGAAATAAAATTTAAAGATAAAAACATGACCGTCACCAGAAAAGACTGACATAGTCAAAGAGTAGATTTTAGGACTGGAATACCAGAAATGATATATCAAATGATCTATGTTAAGAATAACATTTTAAAAGTGCCAACACTACTGCTCTTCTAATGCCATCCTGGAGCTGAAGTAGAATGTAGGGCTCCCTTATCTTAGAGCTACCCTTGACTAAGAAAAATGTCCTGAGAATAGGAACCATTTCCTCTACCTTTGCTTTATTCCCACTAACACACCAACATAGTGAGTGTTCCAAGAGAAGCTCAGTTCATCAGTGGCAGACCTAAAATGCAAATCAGGCATTCTGACTCCAGAATTCACCAGTTTGGTAAGCTCTCAATATCTCAGTTTCTTCAACTGTTAAATGAAAATGATAATGATAATCCATCAGCTCCATAAATGGGTTATTAAAAGAATTAAATTATTAAATCATTTAAAATACAGAAAGCACTTATAATGATGTCAGCACTCAGTCTCTTCCCAAGACAAAGTGGGGGGGGAAATGGTTTATTACAAGCAAGGAACCCAGTCTTAGATTTCTAGAGAGTTATAGCTGATCCAGGATGAATTCCTTAAAACAAATGTAGGGCAAATTGCTGTCCTGCCAACTTCCACCATAGTAACCAAATCTATTCCAATCTGAAGAAGGAACACAGGCATCAGCCAGACACACAGTGCAAATCCTATAGTAGAGGATCATTTTTTAAACTTCCAAGACTCAACCTCTAAAAATGTGACTCAGTTAATTGATTTCTAATTACACCATTCTGCAAATATACTCTGATACTTGAGAATAGAAGAAGAGAGTGGGGAAAGTATGAGCATCTGTGGAGCAATACACTCCTTATGACCAATAATGAGTTTAACAATGACACTTAATCAAAGCAAGAAATCATAGAGAGTTTTTAATTCCTCACTCTTACTTTCCACATTCTACTGATAATTTTTCTCTGCCCATGCTACTACTATTCCTAATTTCTGACTAGTCGTCCTAGAAACTGTCTCTAATCTTCATTCTAAGTACAGTGACCACACTGTTAATGTGTTTGGTTGCAAAAATGGCCATAGTACTTCACAGCTCCTCCCATCAAGAGAGGGAGTCTGTTTCTCTACTCTGGGATAGCCATGTGAATCTAGATTACTTAAGTTAACATCTCTGACCAATACGAAATAGCAAAGGTGATACATTGTGAAAGGACCCAGCCTAGACTAGACCTCAAGAGGCTAGCCAGCACATAATGAAGGATACACAACCCGGTCATCCTGGATGCTTCAGCTGCTACTCAATCTATGAGCTGGCTGTAGACATATGGGAGAAACTAGCAGGATCAGCTGACCTGGCCCAGGCATGAAGAATCAATTAACTGACCCAGAGAATGGAGAACTAAATAAACAGTGGTTGTTTTAAGCCACAAGCTTTTGAGGTAGTTTGCTATGCAGTAAAAGAGAATAGATAGAGATTCTATTTAATCCTTTAAAATTTGCAGGTAAGAATGTCAATTAACATAGAAGCAACATCCATAAGGGAGAAATTATAAAAGATACAAAGCTAAATAGAAACGCTTAAAAATAGGAGATTTGCATTTCCCCTTCTCAGTTCATGAAACCTGAGTGAGAAAAAAAATAAAGATATGAAATACCCAAATCGGGAAACCTGGTTGGCTCAGTCATTAGGCATCTGCCTTTGGCTCAGGTCATGATCCCAGGGTCCTGGGATTGAGCCCTGCATCAGGCTTCCTGCTTGATGCGGGAAGCCTGCTTTTCCCTTTCCCGCTCCCCCTGCTTGTGTTCCCTCTCTCGCTGTATCTCTCTCTGTCAAGTAAATAAATAAAAATATTTTAAAATAATAAAATAAAATAAAATACCCAAATCATTATGAGGTAGACTTGATTGATATTTATTGACCTCTCCATCTTACAAATAGAGAATATAACTTTTTTCAAATGGAATGAAAATAGAACTTAAATATAAAATAAAATAATAAAAGGCTTTTCTACCTAGAAATGTTAAAACTCTTAAATAAATTTTTAGAAAGTAATAATAATGAAAATGCTACAAATCAAGTCTACAAAATGGAGCTAAAACATTGTTTTAGCTGTTAACAGTTTAGCTGTTAAAATTCTTAAATAAATTTTTAGAAAGTAATAATAATGAAAATGCTACAAATCAAGTCTACAAAATGGAGCTAAAACAGTGTTTAGAGGAATTTTTGGCATTAAAAATTTAATCAGTGAAAAATCTGACTCAAAAATTTAGAAAAAGAATATTAAACCAACAAAAAGCAGAAGGAAGAAATTAATAAAAGGATTTGCTCTGTTAGAAAACTGGCTTAAAAAAAGATTAACTGATTAATCTTTTAAATATCAATGAAACAAACCACTAACAAAGTTAATCAGGGAAAAAAGAACTGAAAATAGTTTTAAATGAAATTACAGGAGGAAAAACATAAAATCATTAAAAACAGGAAATTAAAAGAATCAAGAAACTTTGCTCAACTCTAGGCAAACAAAATAGAAAACTTGGATGAAATAAATGATTTTCTAGGAAAACATAATTTACCACAACTGGAAAAAAAAAAAAAACTAAACAGAGTAACATCTATGGAAGAAATAAGGATACATGCTAACTCCTGAACTACCCAAATAAAGCTCAGAAGATTCACAGAAGAATTCTTACAAACTATTGAAGACTAAATAATTTTAATGACATATAAACTGTTCTAGAGTATTCAAAAGGAAGAAAATTCCAGTTTTTTAATGAAGCAAATATAGCATTGATACCAAAATCTGGATGACACTAAAAACAATAACAACACATACACACTGTAGGTTAATTTTCCTTGTGAATATAATAAAATCACCTATGTAATACATTGTAATTGAAAGTATGATCCATTAAGACCAGGTGAGATCTAGTCCAATAATGCAAAATGGCTCAGAATTAGGGAATCTATTAATATAATTTACCTAATATGATTTATCAAATTAATATTTCTGAGGAGAAAAAATAACCATCTCCTTAAATGCTAAAAAGACAAAATTCAAAGCATTCTTGATTTCCAACCATTAATAGTATCAGTATACATGAAAAAATAGTCTTTCCCTAAAGCCAGCATTCTGCTTAACTGAGGAATTACTATTAGACACAAGAGCAAAACAAAATATGATCAGTATCTCTATTATTAACATTTTACTCCAATTAGCTGTCAAATCAATTAAAAACAATATAAACAACATAATAACAAAATTTGGAAATATAAAATTTGGAAAGAAGGTGATAAACTTTTTAAAAATGATAGGATTGTATACCCTGAAACACATGGGAATCAACCAAAAAATTATTGCAAACAGTAAGAGAATTAGTAAAATCACAAGGGTAAAAAATAAGTACACAGGAATCAGTGGTTATCATATATTTAAAGACCAACCAATCAAAAGATATAATGGGAGAAAAGATCACCTTCACATTAGCGATGAAAAATATATGAAATAATATAAATTTATCAAATATCTTAGACCTATAAATTCAAACTAGTACATGTCTAAGGGTCACAGATGCACATGTTATAAATGAGAAGACCCAAAATGTCACTTCTCCTTAATTTATAACACAATTGCAATTAAAATGCTAATAATTTTTAAAAAGACAATCAGATTCCAGAGTATTTGGAGATGTATATGTGTATAAGAATAGGCAAGAAACCACTGAAAGAGAAAAGCAATGAGTGGCTTAGCCTCAACAGATATTAAAGCTATTATAAAGTCTCAATAATTTTAAGAGTATGATATGAGTATATAAATAAAAAAATAGAATAATAAGTATAAAGTAGGCCCAAATACATGTGTAATTCTAATATACGTTAAAGGTGTTTTCTCAAATCAGTGCTAAAAAGATAGACTGTTCAAGAAATGGTATTGGGGGGTGCCTGGGTAGCTCAGTGGGTTAAGCCTCTGCCTTTGGCTCAGGTCATAATCTCAGGGTCCTGGGTTGAGCCCCATATCAGGCTCTCTGCTCAGTGGGGAGCCTGCTTCCCTCTCTCTCTCTTTGTCAAATAAATAAATAAAATTTTAAAAAAATGGTATTAGGCCAACTAGGTATATATCTGAAGAAAAAAAGATTATATTGTTATCTCAAATCATATTTCAAGAAGAATTCCTAAGACATGAAATAATTAAATGTAGAAAATGAAACCCTAAAAGTAACAGAAGAAAATATAGAATTATTTTATAAAATTGGAATATAAAAGGCCTTCCTAAGAATGACTCAAAAGCCAGAAATAAAAGCAAGTACAAATTAATGATCATTTTAATGCAGTTCCCAGACCTCGCCTTCACCAAATATTTTGTTTAACACACTAAATCAGTGGCTCCATGGATGAACCTCTACCTTGTAATTTACAACAATTGTAACTTTGCCTTAATCTCAACTTCAAGAATCTATTCTTTGACCAGTAGTATCTCCAGTACCCTTACTCCAATAATTCTTTGAACCCACGAGGTTTTACAAACTATTGATTCTACTACTTTTTCATTGATCCTCCCCTCCCTAACATCTTTACTGTCCTTAATCACCTTAAAATCTAGGATCAGTTATTCTAGTTACTACCTTAAATATACCCTTAATTTCTTTACCCTCTCTTTCTTCACCATACTTTGAAAAAGCACATTTGTTAAGTATAGCTGTCTACTTATTGCACCAGGAAAGACAAACCTGGCTCTGGAAACCATAAAACCATGCTAAATGCTCTCATTTTGGTTCATGATCACTAACCTCCTATCGGCCATTAATGCTCCCCAACAATGTGACTTACCCTATTCCATTTGTTCTTCTTCTCTCTTGGCCGTTTCATAACTTCTCTCTTCAAAATTCCAACATCTTTCCCACTTCTGTTACTCTCAGGTGATGGCTTTGTTTATAATTCTTTGAAAAGAAAAAACAAGTTTAGAAAAGAACTTACAACCACACTTCCATTTTTCTTAGCCCCTACCCTCTCCGCATTATTATGGATAGCAGCTAATACCATCTCCTAACTAAACCTCTAGATTTGATTCCATATCTCTCCTCTCCTGTAGATTATTGTGTCAGCAATTCTTTTTGACCAGCACCAGCATCAGTTTTCCCCTCCACGTAGAAAAAAGTATATTTAATTTATATGTTAACTTCCTTTTTTATCTCCTGCAACTTTTCTCTGTATAATTGATTCCTTGGAACTCTCTAGTCCCCTGCCTGTAAATAGATGATGAAAATACGACATCATCATCAAATGTTTATCTCTAGAGCAGAATTCTCCCCTGAACCCCAAACCCTAATTTCCTATCTACCTTTTCTCTGTAGATATCCAATGGGCATCTCAATTTCAACATGTAGAAAACAGAGTTCCTCATCTTCTACCCTCTTTAAGATTGCTGGTCTATTATTCCAGTTACTTAAACCAATAAACTTGGAGTTATCCCTATTTCCTCTCTTTCCTCTGTAGCTGGAATCCAATTTTATAAGCACAGTCTTAAATATAGCATTCCTTCTCATTACTGACACTATTACCTCTCCAGTCTGATGACCACAGCATTAGCTGTCAGTTATTGCAGTAGGCTATTAACTAGACATGGTTCTACCTTTACCCCTTCAGTATTTTCTTCACAATAGCCAAAGTGATTCTGTTAAAAATCTTAGGTCAGGTCACTGTTCCATTCAAATCCTCTAGAGCTTTGGTTCCCAAATGGTGTGCCAAGATACCCTAGGGCACCACAGTGAACTCAACAAGGATGTTCTGAGATAACTTAAATTTTCAAGAGCAAAAGACAGTGATACCTAATATCCTTGAAACACAAGGCCAGTTACTAACAGTAGATAGTTGGCAGTTTCAATGTTAGATCACATTACATTTCTTTTCATGACGTGATTATCTTTGTAAAGCAGATTTCTAAAAATTCCAGCAGGTGCTGCAGCAAAAAGCAAGTACCACACAAAAAAATTTTGTGGAATTAAATATGAGTTTGTCAGTGTTCAGTCTGATTCCAAAGTTTGAGAATTTGTGCTATGAAAAGTGGTACACATGTCCCATTCATTAATAATTGTGGTTAAAAATGAAATAAATTCTTTTCTTTCAATTTATGTGTATTTTTTAAACAGCTAATAAGTTGTTAGGACATAAATACTTATCAAGTTATTTAGTCATAACTACTTAATAAATGAAACTGTTAGGCCTCCCTTTTGGCCTAGTAACATGATGAAAAAATTATATACAGAAGGCTACAATGGCCCCAATTTGAGAAATGATCTGGTGTGATTAAAGAACTGAAAAATACACACATGCCTGAAGCATGGTGAGCATGGACAACAATGATCAAAAACACTTTGTGGGGCAGACTGGGTCAATCATGCATAACATCAAAGACCATAATGAGAAATTTAATTTTTAAGTTTTTGAACTTATTTTAAGCAGATTAGCAAATGGATCTGATTTATAATTGTAACTGATCAACCCAATCCATGGGGAATGGATTAGGAAAAGGGTGAGAAGTGAAGAGCCTGACGGGCAATCATTTAGTCCAGAGAACATGGAGGCTTGGACAAGTGAGTGGCAATAGAGATGGAAGTGTATGGAAACCAGGAACACTTTGTAGGTGAAATTGATAGGACTTGCTGATGAATAGAATGAAAGTAGTAAGGAAGGTGGAAACATCAAAGAGTGCTCTTAAATTTCTGACTTAAGCAGCCAGGTACCTATAACTAAAATGAAGAAAAGACCCAGTTTGGGAGAAAACACAGAAGCTTACGTTTAGATGTGTTAAACCTAGGATACTTAGAAAACAACCTACAGGTGACCACTGGCAGGCATTTGGGTTTCCATATGGTATCAGTAGTCCTTTCCCTAAATACAACCTGAGATTATCCATCCCTCCTTCAGTCCTTCTTTTACTGAGTTTTTTTTTATCTGTAACCACTCAATACCCTTCACATATACGATGTCATCCAAACTCAACTCAAATACATCCTGCCAAAGCAGGCAGCATATTAGGGTTTCCATCTGCCACTGTGTACAAAATTTAGTTTTGATATCATAAAACCAGTTTTTAGGGTACTTAGATGAAAGCAAGGACAACCATATGTTTTTCAGTCTTCACACTGTTCCTTGAAAACAAACTTGCTTCACTTGGCTGTTGACAACCTTCCTAGCCCCTTCCAATTTCTCCTCCCTTGAGGTTGAACATTGTCCTAATTAAAATAGCTAATGCTGGGGTCCCATGGCAAACCCAGCAAACCTCCAGAGTGTAAAACCATTGCTCCTGACTTTAAATTTTACCACAGCCTGGATCCTCCTGATGTACTGATACAGCTTACCAAATCAAAGCACCATAGATCTGAGTAGCTTAAATTAAACTGAAATTTTCGCACTCCTCTGTTGTCGCTGTATTTTAGACTATCTACCACCTTTACGATGCAGTTTTCTCTACTTTCACTCATTGGCCCACATATGGGCTTCCAACATGCCTCATCCAATCTTGTTTTGTTGATCAAAGGCTCCATTTCTTAGTACTAGATTTATCTTCTTCCTCTCTGGAAACATATCTAGCCTTTGAAATCCAACTCCGTTATCACCTTATTCTCTCTTGAGATTGTTCTTATGGAACTCCACATCAGAAATGAATACTTTCTTCACATTGCCTTTAGTCATTTACTGGTGTTTTCTATACTGTAGCAGAATGCATACATATTTATGGATTTTTTCCTTTTGCACTAGAAGTTTCAATAATTTAACCTTTAGTTGCTGAATCAAACTACCAATAGTATCTAGCCATTTGTATTGATTTCTACTTATGCCTGATTCTATTTACATAAACAAATAAAGCACAGAAAGTGTTTTATTACTATTATAATTACTGAAATAGTGGTTTCTTATCATTGTGATAACGATTTTAATGTTGATGTTCCTATTTTCTACATTTGCTTAGTCTCTCTTCTGGAGCCACATTTTTCAGATGTGTATTTCTATTGGACAGTTTGGGAAGAGAAAAAAACTTCCCCTGCTTTACTGAAACTATTCTATAGCAGAATGTACTTCCCACAAGAGCAATTTGATCTGTTATGGTACATCATGTAGTAGTTCTCTTCTAAAAAATTCTTGAAGTCATGCCTCCTGTACCACACCAATTTGTTTCAGCCCACAATTGAGGTTTAATCTGAGAAATGTTATCTACTTATTTGCTATAATTTATTGCCTTATATACCTCTTGCAATTACTAGTCATCCATCTCAGAGCTATCATGTGTCTTTCTGCTTTTTCTCGGTGTATCAGACACATCAATATTTATGGGCTTTTCTCTTTGCACTTGATCTTTTAATAATTTCATCTCTTTGGAATGAATCAATCCATCAGGTTCACTCATTTTTTCTGTCATTTGCACTTATACTATCAGCATTTTTATCACTGAAATGCTTGCTGACCAATTTACTAGAATTCTTTAAGGTGTGTTTTAATGTTGGCATACATTTTTAAATCATTCAAGTATAAAAGAAAACCTGTAATCCTACTTTTGTTTTGTTCTGTTTTCTCCTTAATAATTTCTGTGTCAAGTAAAAGCAGGAAGAATTAAATTTCCTTAAATGTCTCCTAATTTCTATTTCTTTTCCTTAAGAATATGTTAGTAGCTGTTTTAAGTCTGAATCTCAAAAATATTGATGATGAATATTAAATAATAGTTGATTGATAATTTCTATTTGGTAAACATTTCTTCCCTACACTGTGTTTTTTTATCAGATTTCTTGCTTCAGGTCAATATTCTTTTAGTCAGCTGAAATGAAAGACTTTTATTCTGTTTAACTCTGCTTCTCCCAGGGTAGTAAAGCAAGTGCTCTTCAAATGAGAACAACTCAGTCAATATTTGTTGAATTAAGTCATTAGACATATTGAAGGAAAGGCTTACAGGCTTTAAGTCTCTTAAATTAATATAAACATCTCTTCTATGGCAGCTCTCTGGTCCCTAAATTGATCTGTTTTCCCAGTTTTCTGTTATAGCTCCATATAGAATACACAATCAATTTAAAACAAATAGCATAGCCCAGCTGGGAAATTCTAGACAAAAAATTAACTCTAGGCAAACAAAACTCAAGGAGTCACTATATGTAGTGAAAATTATCATTTTCCTAGCTCTTCTAGATCTTAATGTAATAAAGTCGTGTGTTTAAAGTATAATTTAACTAAAAGTCCTTTTTTAAACATCTTTTCTCCCCATTCTGCCTTAAAGGAAAGAAAACAGTCAAGTTTTGATGTTTATTCTCAGACTTGGTGATACTATGATTTCATGTATTTTTTATTGTTCATTTGCTGGAATAATGAGAGGAAAATTTTCCTTGGGATGAAATGATTTCTGCTGGAACAGAACTATTTTTCTTATTCAAATCTTTTAGTACTTTATGAGATTTAAAAAGTAATAAAATATCTGCACCTGCATTTTTGTAGGACTAAATAACATAAGGAAAACTGAACTCTGTTCATGGGGGTCAAATGGGAAAAATCCATTTGACACCATTAGCCTTGGGGTCCCAAGTGAGCACATAAAATACATTGTACTTCCCTATCTGAAAACATAACCCGAATCTATGTACACATTGCCAAACATGTGGAATATGAACAGCCCAACCAATTAATCACCTAACAGTATGTATGATGCCAAACATCTGGATATTTGGAAACTTCCAGATGAATGAGCGAATTTTTCATTTTTCTTCCTATTTTTTTGGCAGCATACAAACACAGCCAAATGTGGCACTTTGATTGTGGTATTATTTTCAGGCAGCAGGTTCCAAAATATCTTAAAAGTCCTAGCCCTTCAATATCCAAAGAAAACCTATTTAGAAGGCAGTCTTTCATGATTCATTTTGATAAGGGATTTATATTAAACACTTATAATGGTAAAAAT